ACGAACCTAGGATCTGTAGGTGCGTTTTCAAAATGCAAGAACCCGAGATCCTGAGAACTTTAGATATAGAATCTATTAGGAGAATAGGTTCTTGTCTCTGAGTATTCATACGCGCCGTGGGATACGGGTACGAAATGTTTGGGGACGGGTGCGTTTTTCTGAAGTTTTTACGGGTAAATACTGCAATTTGGTAGAATTCGAACAAGTCTTGCTGCGCAAGGGATTCAAATAAATTAATTTGTTTACAGCGATTAAGTGTGTTCTTTTTGCGGAAAATTCTGACAAAAATAAGCACATTTTATTAGTTTAAATACTTATTTAAGAAAAAGCGAAAAACTAACGAAAAAATGTCTATTAAAGCATCTAATAAAACAATACAATATTAAGCATATTTCATATGAAAACTGTAATAACAACTGTTTGATAATAACAAGCACTAAAATCATCATCATTATCACAGTTGATATTACCATCGCTACCACCTTGCATTTCTTCAGCTTGTCCTGTTGATAGTTTACCGCTGATTGGAATTGATTGTTTGACTTTCGTTTTTGATTTATCTGGATTACGAAATTTCCAGGAATCTTTGCTCATTATATTTGCCAATGAATCCCGTACATTATGATCACCAAATTTGACATGAACTCCAAATAGTTCACGCATAAACCCTACAGAAATACAAAGTAAGCCTTATATGAATAAAGAAATAGTAAAGTTCTCTTGAGAAATGAAGTGTGGAATTCAAATATTTCCAAAAGGTATCGATCTATCATAATTAAACACTTACTACATATTTTGATAACCATTTCTTTATCAATCTTTTGCTAATAATGTTCTTGCTGAATAGCTTCATCATAATTCATGTAATGTTTAAATAAATTACGTGAATAGCATCGATTTACCAAGTTCATCGCCTGTAAGCCGAATGAATATACTGTCGGGATTATTATTCATTCTGTTGTAAGTCGATCTAGTTACTGTTTGCTAGAGACTATCTACAATGCGTTATGAATATTTTCCTGATTTAATGTGTCAGTTTCATAATGTAACCTAAATCTATAAAAGTTTTCTCGAAAATGAAAAATAAACAAAAATTAGTAACTTGAGACGATAAAAGTATCAAAAATGGAAATCTACCTCAATTTTAATTTTGCTTCGTTTAAATCTTTATCCCAATTTTCACCGTTGTGTGCATCATCAGTAAAATCATCATCAGGCTCATCAATCGAAGAACTATCGGTGTCGTAGCAAAAATCATTTATTCGTTTATTGAGTGTTTTCATAGTTGTACTCAGTAGAATATTTATCTTCACAGTCTTCTTTATCAACCGTCCTGTAATCATTTGTTGTTTCAAAAAATTGTTCATAATAATTTGAGATTGAGTTTATTGTAGCAACACCACGCTCTTTTGTTGGTAAAATAGCCACGGACTTTATTTCTAGTTCAGGTCTGAAATATAAATAGCAATGCTTCAGAAACCATAAAATTGATTAAATCATACTGACGATTTTATCGCGTTTCGATAATGCTCTCGTCTTTGTTATTTAGTGGCTTCATAATATCATCTATTATATTGACGTCGTATAATCTTTTTTCCTTCAATACCAACTCGTTTTAATGATCTTTTAATGTTGTTATTTACCATTGATCAAATTGATATAAGATAAAAGGAGACTAACTCGATAGATCATTATAAAATTTAGCGAGACAGTCAGATTATTTTAGCTGTAGTTTGATCTAGAAAATGATTATTTAAGAAAATTTTATTAGTTTAAAAATTTATTTAAGAAAAAGCGAGAAACTAACGAAAAAATGTCTATTAAAGCAGCTAATAAAACAATACAATATTAAGCATATTTCATATGAAAACTGTTGGTTTCTC